TTTTTTTTTTTTTTTTTTTTTTTTAAAATATTAATTTTATTTTTTATATTCCCCCTACAATTGCAAAAGCCCATTCTGACCCCAATCCTTCCCTCCCGCCCCCACCCCCCAAAAAGTGTCTCTGGTTCATAGTTTTTTGTTGATTTTTGATTTTCACTTTCTTATATTCATTTTCCTGGTCCCTTATTTAAGTTTTCTAGATTCCTGCTATGAGTGAGACCATCCGGTATTTTTTCTTTTTTCTTTTTGGCTATTTCGCTGAGCATGATCCCTTCCAGGGCCATCCATGTTGCTGCAAATTGCATGTGTTTATCTTTTTTGAATGCTGAGTAATATTCCATGGTATATATGTACCACATCTTCTTGATCCAGTCATCTATTTTTGGGCATTTGGGTTGTTTCCAAGCTTAGCTATTGTAAACAGTGCTGCTATAAACATAGAGTGCAGGTGCTCTTTGGAATTGATGTTTCTGTGTCCTTTGGGTAAATACCTAGGAGTGGAATTGCTGGATCATATGGAAGCTCTATGTTTAGTAGGTCCAGAAATCTCCACACAGCTCTCCATAGTGGTTGGACCAGTTTGCACTCCCACCAACAGTGCAGAGAGTTCCTTTTTCTCCACATCCTCGCACAATTTGTTGTTGCTAGTTTTTTAATATGTGCCATTCTCACTGGTGTGAGATGGTATCTCATGGTAGTTTTGATTTGCATTTCCCTGATGACAAGTGATGTTGAACATTTTTTCATATGTCTGTTGGCCATTTGCATTTCCTCTTCAGAGAAGTTTCTTTTTAGCTCTTCTGCCCATTTTTTGACTGGATTATTTTCTTTGTTGTTGCTGAGTCTCATCAGCTCTTTGCAGATTTTTGTGATCAGTCCTTTATCATTAGTGTTGGGTGCAAAAATGTTCTCCCAGTTGGTGGGGTTTCTCTTTGTTTTTGTTATTGTCTCTTTTGCTGTGCAGAAGCTCTTTAATTTGATGTAGTCCCAGCTGTTTATCTTCTCTTCACTATCACTGCTTTGGGTGATGTGTCTGTAAAGATGTCTTTGATGTGCAAATCCCGTAGTGTTTCGCCTATATTTCCTTCTATGTATTTTATGGTTTCAGGTCTTATGTCTAGTTCTTTAATCCATTTTGAGTTGATTTTTGTGTATGGTGTGAGGTAGTGGTCAAGCTTCATTCTTTTGCATGTAGCGACCCAGTTTTCCCAGCACCATTTATTGAACAAACTTTCTTTGCTCCAATGCATAGTCTTTGCTCCTTTGTCAAAGATTAGTTGACCATAAATCTGTGGGTTTATTTCTGGATTTTCTATTCGATTCCATTGGTCTGTATGTCTGTTCTTGTTCCAATACCATGCAGTTTTTGATGATTATGGCTTTGTAGTATAGTTTGAAGTCTGGGAGTGTGATGCCTCCATTTCCTTCTTTTTTTTTCAGTAGAGCTTTGGCTATTCGGGGTTTTTGGTGATTCCATATGAATTTCATCAATAATTGTTCTATTTCTTTGAAGAATGCCATTGAGATTTTGATTGGAATAGCATTGAATCTGTATATTGCTTTTGGTAGGATGGCCATTTTAATAATGTTTATTCTTCCAATCCATGAGCAGGGGATGTCTTTCCATTTCTTTGTGTCTTCTTCTATTTCTTTTAACAGTGTTTTATAGTTTTCTTTGTATAGGTCCTTTACCTCTTTTGTTAGATTTATTCCCAAATATTTGATTTTTTTTGTTTCGATAATAAAAGGGATGGTTTTTTTGATTTCTTCTTCTTCAGATTTATTGTTTGTGTATAGGAAGGCTACTGAGTTTTGCGTGTTGATTTTGTATCCTGCCACTTTACTGAATTGATTGATGAGTTGAATTAGTTTTTCTGTGGAGATTTGGGGTTCTCTATGTATATTATCATATCATCTGCAAATAGTGATAGTTTGACTTCTTCTTTTCCTATTTGGATTCCTTGGATGTCTTTCTCTTGTCTTATTGCTCTGGCTAGGACTTCCATATTATATTGAAAAGCAGTGGTGAGAGTGGACATCCTTGTCTTGTTCCAGATCTTAATGGAATTGCTTTCAGCTTTTCACCATTGAGAATGATACTGGCTGTTGGCTTGTCATAGATGGCTTTTATGATGTTGAGGTATGTTCCTTGTATCCCAAGAATTTCAAGGGCTTTTATCATGAATGGGTGTTGCACTTTGTCGAAAGCTTTCTCAGCATCTATTGATATTATCATATGGTTTTTATATTTCTTTTTGTTGATGTGTTGGATAACGTTGATTGATTTTCGGATGTTAAACCATCCTTGTGCCCCTGGAATGAATCCAACTTGGTCGTGGTGAATTATCTTATGGATACATTGTTGGATTCTGATAGCTAAAATTTATTGAGGATTTTTGCATCAGTGTTCATTAGGGAGATTGGCCTATAGTTTTCCTTTTTTGTGTTGTCCTTATTCGGTTTTGGTATTAGTGTAATATTGGCTTCATAGAACGTGTTTGGTATTGTCCCTTCCTTCTCAATTTTTTGGAAGAGTTTGTGAAGGATAGGCACTAATTCATCTCTGAATGTTTGGTAGAATTCATTTGTAAATCCATCAGGTCCTGGGCTTTTGTTTTTGGGGAGGTTTTTAATTACCATTTCAATTTCGCTGCTTGTAATTGGTCTGTTTAGGTGTTCTATTTCTTCTTTATCTAGCTTTGGGTGATTGTAGAGTTGTAGGAATTTGTCCATCTCCTCTAGATTGTTGAACTTGTTTCCATATAACTGTTCATAGTAGCTACTGATTATTCTTTTGATTTCTGCTGTGTCCGTTGTGATTTCTCCTCTTTCATTTATGATTCTGTGTATTTGTGCTTTCTCCTTTTTTCCTTTGTGAGCCTGGCTAGGGGTTTGTCTATTTTATTTATTTTTTCAAAGAACCAGCTCTTGGTTTCATTGATCTTTTGGATTGTTTTTTTAGTTTCAATTTCATTTATTTCTGCTTTGGTTTTTATTATTTCTTTTCTTCTACTGGTTCTGGGGTTTTTTTGTTGTTCTTTTTCTAGATCTTTGAGCTTCGAGATTAGGTTGTTTCTTTGAGTTCTTTCTTGTTTTTTGATGTGAGCTTCTATTGCTATATATTTTCCTCTTATTACTGCTTTTGCTGCATCCCATACATTTAGGATATTGGTGTCCTCCTTGTCATTCAATTCAAAGAATTTTTTAATTTCTTCTTTGATCTCCTCGTTAGTCCAGTGGTCTTCCAGTAGTGTGGCTTTTAATCTCCATGAGGTAGGATAGTTCCTTGCCTTCTTTTTATGATTTATTTCTAGTTTGATGCCTTCGTGGTCAGAAAAGATGGTTGGTATGATTTCAATCTTGGTGTATCTGTTGATGTTTGTCTTGTGCCCCAGTATGTGATCGATCCTGGAGAATGATCCGTGTGCGCTTGAGAAAAATGTGTACTCCGTTTTTTTTGGGTTTAGTGTTCTATAGATGTCTGTTAAGCCCAAATGCTCTAGGTCCTTATTTAGAGCTTTAGTTCTTTACTTATTTTTTGTCTTGTTGATCTATCCATTGTTGATAGTGGTGTGTTG